CACTTCTGCTTCCTGGTTCCTTGGCCTCTGGCCCCTCAGCCCTTTTGGACCGGCTGGCCTCCAGCCTGCTTGGGCAAGTGTTATCAAGTGCCTTGTCTCTAGCAAGAAGTGTTGGAGGCACCTTATTCTGCCAGGACACCTGTGCCTGAGAGCACACAGCTCTCTTGCTCTGTGGGTCAGCTCCCATGCTGTCATGCACCAGTCTCCTGATTCTGCTGCTACCACTTCTCTCGCTGCTTCGCATCGTCTGCACTGCCTCTGGTACAACTCTCGGAATCCCTTCTGAGCACTCACTAGAATTGCCTTTGAGGTTCATAATTCCAACCGTCTCTTCAAGGCAACTCAAGCTTTTCCTACTAAGTGCCTTCAAACTCTACTCAGTACCTAATTCCAAAAGGACACACCATCTTGGCACAACATGCTGCCTTTGTTATCAAGTGTTCCCACACTAGATATACCATGAGTGGATGGCTTTCATAAACAGAAAATGTATTATCTCAACAGTTTAGAGGCTAGAAGCTCAAACTCTAGGGGAGGGCTTTTTATCAGTTCTGGGCAAATGTTCTTGTCTCCATTCAACACCTTTGGGCCCAGTATTCCAGGGAGATCAACATGTGTCTTGGCAGCAATCTGCCCCAGAGTCTAGGAGTTTCTCAGCACAGGGACCCAAGGTCCAGAGAACACACTCTGTTCCCAGTTCTTCTTTCTTGCAGACACTAAGGTAACTCTGTCTTGATTAGTTTCTCCCTCTTCTTATCTCTTGGAAGATAAAGCGTGAAAGTGATACAGACCACACTTCAGGGAAACTCACCTTTACAACTAATTGGCTGATCCCATCAGATCCCATCGTGGGGAATGACTACAGCATTCTATAGCTATGAAACCACTGAGAATCATAGCCAAGCCAAGCTGACAGATATTCTGGGAGGAACACAATCCAATCCATTGAAGGAAACTGGCCCAAATCACGTCAAGTTAGAGATTTCTTCTACAGATACATGTTGTTGCTGTCCTTAGGGGCCATCAACCTGGCTCCAAGTCACAGGGACCTTACACACGACAGAGCCAGCACTGTCCAAGCCTGAGCCACCCTCACAACTGTCCTTGCGTTGAGCCTTTGGCTGCAGCCACAATGGCAATCCATCCCCTTCAACGTCCTCCTCTTTGTCATTGACCTCCTGCTCTACCAAGCGGGATGTCACTGTCTAGGGACCGGTCGCTGTTAGTTCCACGTCCAGAGCAGGCGAGACGAAATCTTACCCTTCTGCTTCTAAGGAGCATTCTGGCTGTGCTTCTTATAAGGCAGGTTTGCTTATTCTACTGACACTCCACCACACTTCCAAAATGCTCGGCCAAGTCCGATGTATCCCACAGGCAAGATTATTGGATAAGTTGATAACACACACTTTTTACCTTATAGAAGGACTCATAGATTCGAACTTTTACAACAGCAGCACCCGTTCTAATACCAGACACCAAAATCATATCTCCTCGTTTGTCTTCTCTTTCCATCTCAGCGATATACCCCGGGGGAGAGTATTCTGCCTCAGAGTATTTCAGAATCCTAAAGAAATAAAATAAAGCTGGTTTGTTTTTCTAGCATAATCAAATAGTCTCATTCCAAAAGACCCTTAAAGGTTTTTTTAAAAAACCATGATAAAATGAAAGGGTACCAAAATAAATAAATAAAAGGGTACGTCAGCAAGCATTGCTGGTAGGGTCCCAGCCCATGTATGCACGGCTTGATTCTGAATGGAACACATTTAAACACGTCTCTCCAATCCGAGGCTGGCTGCAGGGATGTACCTGTCGTAGTCT